GTGCCATCGTGCACTTGTGAATCTTTATAGGCTCGGCTCGTTCCAACTGACTATAATCAGTCTTGAGGACGTGGGAACTGTCCCTGCTCGGCCGTCGGGGGGGGGGGGCGTCCGCATTTCGTCCTCTTTGTCTTTCAGCCCTACCTTAGGCAGCGCTGACCGGGTGCTCCCTCTTTGGCAAAAACATTTCCCCGCCCTTCTTGAACTTTGCATGTTTCTTGTTCTTAGGTCCAGTCTCTGCAACCCTTCTTGGAAACTTAATTTCTTGTTTTTAACAAATTATGTGTCAGAGACTAAAATCTGGGTTCTGGGATTGCACATGAGATGGTCCCACGGGCTCTGGAGTGGGCAGTCCCTGTATCAGAGGCAGCCCCAGCCCTGGGGGGTGCCGGGGGGCTACGAAGTCAGAGTGCCCACGTCCCCTTTGGACTGATTTAACAAGTCCTCACGTGTCATGTTCTCATGTGAAAATAAATTTGTTTCTTTATCTGTACTATCAACTTTTCTTCTCGTCTCTGTAATTCTCTAATGTAAAAGATCCTTTGTTAACTTTGGTATGTCATGCTTGAATTCCTCCCACCAAACCTCATCTCTAACTTATAATATCAGCCAAAGCTTTAGACATCTTCATTTTCCTTTCTTTAAGGAAAAAAAGAAAAGATATCATGCAGCAATTTTTAAATATTTAAGCCAGACAGATGCAATGCAAGGGTGCAAGGATGACATGGGACTAGGCGCTGGCCATGAAGGACAGGAACAGGACAGCAATTTTGGAGACAAAAGTAAGTTTCTATCAGAATATTGCTTAAACGGGCTCTCTGTTTAGCACATGCGTATGCAAAAATGACATGGTCAAGGGAAGCAGGTATAATTCTTCGGATATCTTTCCCTCTTGGGGGTGACGGGGGGAATCCCCGGCCTTTGTGTAAACATGAGAAGTGGAAATAAGTATCCTCCTCCTCTCTATCCGCTGCAGGAAGAAAAAAAAAAAAGAGACCCAGCACTACTTTGCAAACTGCAACTGGCAGAACCTGGTACATTTTTGTGTCTCGACTGCTACTAGAGTTTTAAGTAAGAATGACCCCGGGAACACAGTGTCTGCCCAAGTAGCAGCTAAATGACATCTATTGGCTCACTCGGGTCCCATGCTACCGCTGTTTCTCAGCAAATTCTCAAGTCTCTCTGTTCTTTCTCCCCTCCTGGGTTCTGTCCGGACCCTGCGCCTGCCCGTCCCAGACCGCATTCTCTTCCCTCCCCACATGGTCTTCGCCCTGGCCGTGGGCACAGCCCTTCCCCCCACCACAGCAGCCCTGTGTCGTAGCGTGCGTCGGCCCCCTCCACGGGAACAAGGAATCTCTGAGCTGCCTCTGCTCCACCAGCTCAGGAGCCCCCGGCAGCCACGTGCACCCACCTCTCCCACGCCGCCTCGGCAACCCACAGCAGGTCTCCTCTACTCACAGACCCTCAGATTTACTGTCAAAGTCCTGCCATCCTGCCGACCAGAGCACAGTCTTCTGCCCCTGCAGCTGTTCTCACCTACTTCCCTGGTGACGGGACCCAATCCCAGGTGGGGCCCACAGCCACCCACCTCCTGTCTCTGCAGCTCTTCTGGCCATGAGGTCCAGGGGTGGGGCCATGGATAACATCCAGATGTGTCCTTAAAGGAAGAGGCTGTGTTTCTCATGGTGGCCCTGTCTCCTGCATGTGACAGGCCAGCCAGAAGCCAGCATGGACCCTGGCAAGGAAGCCCTGCCCAGCAGAGCCACAGATGGCAGGTACCTGGGCCCGTCGTTTTGGAACCCTGGACAAGCTCTGCACTGACATCCTTTGAGCTTTCTGATTACGAGAAAGAAAGAAACTTTATCCTGTGTAAGCCCCTGGTACTTTAGAGATTTGGGTTGCTCACAGGCACATTTAGCTCACACTAATGCACCCCTGGGAAGCTAAGGCAGAGTCGGGGCGCAGGCCAGGCCAGGGCCCCTTCCCAGGGAGCAGCACCAACTCTGGCTTCTCTCTGCACCCTTCGCTGTCTGCCGGGCCCAGAGCAATTCTGTCTCCTCTATTGACAGGAGACGTGTCTGACGCCGGCCTGCCGCCTAGTGCCAGGTCTGCGTCCTGCGTCTCTTGGTGTCCTGTGACCATGCGGCCCAGGGCGATGGTTGCTGCGGTGTGGCGGCCTGAATAGGGGTGAAAGGAAGAGTGGGGGGATACATGCTCTTGGGCTTCAGAGGGGCACCCCGACACAGGCTCACGGGGGACAGGAGCTCACCACGCTGCCCCCAGCAACTCCCGGGGCTGGGGCAGTGACCGGCCTTCATTCTTCCTCCGAGGAATTTTTTTAAGTGGAGGGATTTGAAGTGACTTTTACTTTTTTCATGTTTCTTGGTACTTTTAAATTAAAAAAAAAAAATCAAAACTTAGGAGTCAGGCACACTGCAGTTTAGGCGTTGTCGGGGAGAGCGCCCCTCAGCCCCGTGCAGTTGAAGTCTGCCCTGCCCGGCCCAACGCGGACCTTGTATGGCTAACCGGGGCGCAAAGTCAAGCAGAATAGGTACGCACACTGTGTTCTCAGAAATATGTCGTAAAAGTGTCACAGGACCTCCCTTCCTGCAGCCAAGCCAAACCGGTTCCTGGTGTCGGTGACTGCAGCCAGGAATTCCCCAGGTGACCACCAACGGGCCACCAGGAACCAGCCAATTAAGGGAGACTGGGAATTTGGGGCTTCATGTCATCCACTTGTCTCCGTGAGCACTGCCCACCCGGCAAAGGAAACTCCCGAAATTCCAGACGACATGGGTGATGGGCTTGGGTGTCTATGGCTTTGCCGCCGGCCGGGAAGATTTCAGGAGGAACATGATCCCCAATGTGGGGCTCCTTGCTTTGGCTGGAATTCGGCTGGAACTGGAGTGACATTGCCCTCAAGGCACATCAGCCAGGGGTGTAGCCAAATAGACAGGGTCTTTTACTGTCCCAAGTCTTCCAAAAACAGCCTCTGACCTGTGACCACCTCAGAGACACCCTGACGGCCGCAGGAGTTGGATTCGGACGGGCACCCTCCCCTTCCCAGCCCAGTCTCCCGCAGAGCGCCACTCCCCCCTCAGACACTTCTCCCGGGCCTCCGGCCCCACTGCCACCTGTCCTGCTCCTGCCTGGCCTGCAGCCCCCACGCCCATTGCCTGCTCACCGCAGGGGACCGCACTTCTCCCCTCTCGAGACCCGCAGGAGGAAGTCTCTGCAGGTGGAACTCCGGGAGCTGAAGGAAATGTCTGGGGCAGGACTGAGGGGCTGATTGTCTCGACCTTCAAATCCTCCACCGGCTACAGGGTGGACCCTGCCTGCCCCCACAGAGTGCTCGGTCCATGGCGCTGCCCCCGGGGGCGGGGAGGAGGCTCCTCCCCAGCAAGGCCCTCCCAGGACCTTTTTGTGTTTCCTGATGCCCGAGTCACACCTGCCATCTTCCCAAGCCTTTAGACGCCCACTGTGCCCCAACCAGCTCATACCTGTGTTCACACTGCCCGACGGGCACCCCGCCACCCCTGCTTCTCCTAGGTTGACTTTGGCTTCATCCCAGCAGCAGTGAGGAAGGCAGGAAGGGCAGGCCCACCAGTGTCACCTTTGTGACACAGCGGGGCACATTCAAACACACTTTGTTTCCACCGGGCTCCCTGTGGAAACTGGTTCCCTGGAATAAAGCTCCCTCCCTCAGGGAGAGCACGGGAGGATATGCCCGCCCGGGAGGAAGCTGCACCCTGGGACCCACTTCCCAGCTGGGCTGCCGGGACCGACCTTGCTGCGACCTGCGCTGCAGGATCTAGCGCAGCCGTGCCTAGCCCCACGGGAACGGCACACGCTCCTGTCCCTTCCTGTGTGTCCTCACAGCGCGGGAAGCTGGGGGACAGGGGTGGTTGTTTCAAACGATGGCCCTTCTTTGCTTAGAGCCTTCCGTGGAAGGATTCTAAGAAAGGTTAGAGGACTTTTTCAATACACATTTGAAAAATGTGATTCGAAGCTCATATACTTTTCGTACTTGTTACCAGTAAAGAGTACAATCATCATGATCGGAAAGTGTAATGTACGGGGTTAGGGCTTTGCTGCAAACACGCTGAACTGCAGTGCTAGTTTCACTCTGCTGTGGAGAATTAGGAAGGCAAGGTCCTCTCCCCACCCCCTTTTTATTGGCCAAGGGCAAAGACTGAGGTCTCCGAGCAGCACTGTCCATTTTTAAGGCGCTGCTCGGTACCAATTGCCACGGCCTCAAGTCCCCGTGGCCCGTGGCCATCGCTGATCTTAGCTAGATCAGGCCAGAAACGTTGATAACAGCCACATGTGTTTCTCAGGCCTCCAGTTTGCATGAGAAAATGTTTTTCCCTGGTTGTGCTCTGAAGTCTGGCTACTATGTTATCTTTGTGGGTTGCTTCACACATAAAGAAATTCTAAAATAGAGTTCTTTGTGGGTTCTCCAGTAACAAAGTCACTGCGCAGGGTTTAAGAAGCAAGTAACCGGATAGTCGCATGAATGCCTTTTGATGTATTTACCGTGATATCTCACAGTTGGCGTGTGAGTTCACCTTCTAGAATCACCAACAAAAACCCAAACCATGAGTGAGATAGAATAAAATATTCCTGGAATACAGGTGGTAGAAACTTCTCCCCTAAAATGGTCATGGTGCCTCTGGTCTTTCCATGAGAATCATGTTTATTCCACCGTGTGTATGTAAATGTGACCAGGACACGGTTTGCTGGCAAAGCCACCGTATTGAAAACCAAGTACAGTCATCCCTCGTTATCCACGGGGGCTTGGTCCCAGGACCCCCCTCAAACACTGAAATCCACAGACGCTCAAGTCCCTCATATAAAATGGTGTGGTACTTGCCCATTAGCTACTCACATCCCTATACTTTAAATAGTCACTAGATTACTTATGATACTGATACATGTAAACACTCTATAAATAGTTGTTATGCTATATTGTTTAGGAAATAATGACAAAGATAAAAGTCTGCCCGTGCTCAGTACAGATGCAACTGTCTTTTTATTCTGAACATTTTCCATCTGTGGTTGGTTGGAACCCATGGGTACAGAGGGCCAACAAGCCATCTGCATGTTGATATGTTTTTGCCAACACAGATACCTTCAAAGGCAGAGGCATTTTGTTTCGGAGAGTCAATAAAATAATACTTATTCTAGAAAAGCAGTAGTGATCTTCAAAATACTTTAGATAATTTAGTACCTGGTCCCAAGAGTACCAACCGCTCTCACTAGCATGGGTGAATAGATGAAAGATCGCCAGGGCTTTGGGGGACTTGAAAGCAAGAAACCAAAGTGAGACAAAGCCCATGCAAACAGTTCTTTTGGACGGGTTCTGGCGTGGGGCAGGCAGGTATAAGGATGAGCACAGAGAAGTGAGGGCTTCGAAGGATTTCTGCAGAGGGTGACTCCATCTCTGTCCCTGCGACACTCCGTCCCCAGCAAAATGTCTCAGCTGCCTGGGCCTTCTGAGGTTTGGACCTCAAAGTAAATCGTCTTTTCTTTGGACTTTGCTTTCCTGTAAGCAGCCAAAAACAAAAATCAAACTTAAGAGAAATAAATAAGCAATCAGTCGTGTTGATAAACCATTGCAAAGTTTTATGCAGGAACAAGTCTCAAAACAAAAAACAAAAAAAGCAAGGTCGGCAAGCTCTAAAGAAGAAAAGCGGCTACAGCCCAGGGGCCAGATCCGGCTCACAGCCCATTTTCGCACAGCTCATGAGCTGAGAATGGTTTTCTATATTCTAAAGTAGTTGGAAAAAATTAAAATGAAAATATTCCATGACCTTAAAAAAAATTAGATGAAATTCAAACTTCCATGTTCATAAATAAAATTTTACTGGACTCCAGATGCAGCCACTCCTTTATGTGTTGTCTGTGCCACTTTTCTGAGGGAGAGGCAGGGCTGAGCGGTGGCAGCACAGGCCCTGTGGCCCCGCAGCCTGGGATATTTACCGTCCGGCCCTTTACGGGAAGAGGCTACAACCCCCCGGAGCACAGCATCGATGGCTCTGCGGCCTGACTCGGCCACCGTAGGGTCAGCATTCCGCTCGGGATCTGGTGATTTGGGGCACCTGTCATTACTTCCTCCACCTGCAGAATGGGCACGACAACCACAGCAGCCGGCACACAGGGTTTGGGAGGATCAGGCGAGAATAACCGCACGCGCTCAACACTCCATAAAGCTGAGCAAGTGTTACCATCACTCCCATTCCCTGGTGTTTTCTGCTGAAAGTAGGGAAGGAGTAACTGAACAGTCTCTCCGCTGGCAGACTGTCTTCTTGTCTGTCTCCTTGTCTGGAGAAGACAGACGGGGAAATAAGAGAATTATTGTGAAGTACAAAGAGGATTGTGGAGAACAGAGGGTGAAGGGGAGGGTGGGGCTCGGAGCCGAGCACCCCGCCTCCCTGGCAGGACAGGAAGAGTTGTGACGACAGAGTGACATGATTAAACAGGACATCTCCGGGATGACCAAGTGCATGCTAGCAAAGTATCATGAAACATATTTAAATCGGGTAATACAACATTAGCTCTGTATTTCTGCCACTGGGGACCAAAAGGAAGGAACTCCCCTTAGCAACTAGAAAATGTGTTTTTCATTAAAATAGAGTATTTGGCCCTTACCAGTACCAAGACATCCCGAATATCTCTGAGTGTGTTTTACGGAGCCCCTATCTGCCATGGGCATTGTTGGCAGAGTTATTAAAACAGATTCCTGGCCCCACCTTGCACTTCCTCAGTCAAAGCCAAAGCCAAGAAGACCTAGAGATCTGCATTTCAGCAAGTGCCCTTTGTGATTCTTCTGCACACTAAGTTTTGAGGATCACTGAGGAAATTGCACAATTTGCAAGAAGAGCGGAGAAAATATGAGATTTCTTAAACACCTACTATGTGCCAGGCAATGAATTAGTCACTGTCACCTACTTAATCTCATTGAATTTCCCCAACAACTCTCTACATTAAGTATTATTTGTTTTTTTGTTTTTTGTGGGTTTTTTTTTTTTTTTTTGAGACAGAGTCTCACTTTGTTGCCCAGGCTAGAGTGAGTGCCGTGGCGTCAGCCTGGCTCACAGCAACCTCAAACTCCTGGGCTCAAGCGATCCTACTGCCTCAGCCTCCCGAGTAGCTGGGACTACAGGCATGTGCCACCATGCCCGGCTAATTTTTTCTACATATTTTAGTTGGCCAATTAATTTCTTTCTATTTATAATAGAGACGGGGTCTCACTCTTGCTCAGGCTGGTTTCAAACTCCTGACCTCGAGTGATCCTCCCGCCTCGGCCTCCCAGAGTGTTAGGATGACAGGCGTGAGCCACCGCGCCCAGCCACATTAAGTATTATTGTGGCCACTGTGCAGGCTTGGGAAGTAAGGCTCTGCAGGGTTGGGTGGCATTCCTAGCGTGGCGTGACCACAACCAGTTTTGGGGCTCAGGCCTTCACCACGCCGCAGACTCCTCTCTGTCTGTTCCCCAGGACACACATGTCCTTGCTGTGGAATCCGTAGAATTGAGTTTGGGAAAGGACCTAAGAAATGTCACCTCATCAAGCACTTCTCCTTCCTTTTCTTTTTAATTCCTTGAAAAGTAGAATCTAAAACTCCAGTTTATCCAAAACTCTGTGTCACAAGAATTTTGTGAGAAAATCACTAAAGAATCTGAGCCAGCAATTGCTAAGAGGACAGAAGATGGATTTTAAAATGCTCCCAACTCAGAGGTATTAATCGTGGGGTGCTCTGGGGACCTCGCTGGCCAGGCAGTCAACATCATCCTCTGCCGCGCCGTTTGGAACTGATAACTGTCAGCTAAAAATGCATATTCACGCTCTCCGTTTTTTCCTTACGTGAGGTCATTGGCTGTTTTGTTTTGTTTCCCTTATAGAAGTTCTGGGAGTGGGAAAAAGAAACACACAAATAAGGCTCTTCTAAACCCCTGGATGGATGAAATGGAGGACGTGGGTGATATCTGGACGCTTTCAGGGGGCATGTCTGACACGGACCCCCACCCCTACCCCAGGGCCCGAGCGCCGGGGCGCTTCACCTCTGCATGTTCTCAGCATCCTCGATGGTCTCTGGCAGAGCGACCCCCTTGGTCTCCGGAAGCAGCAGCGTCATTCCCCCGGCAGCCAGGCCCAGCCCCCCTTCAGAGGAAACGGGGTGCAAACGGAGCCATTAGAACACGGCCAGTACGCCAACGCCGTCTACAGAAACGATGACTGCCAGACAACACGGGTGGGACAGACACTACTTTTTTTAAAAAAAGGTTGTCAGTAACATTTAGGAAAGAAAACTAAAACAATAGGATAACTGGGGAAATGCCAGAGTAAGAAAAGGGAAGACTGCCTTCATGTTACTGCTATAGAAGTATAAAGTTCCATAGTAACTGATGCTTGAGTATCAGGGGTTTTGCTGATTTAGGTTATATACACATATACGATTAGATACAGGCCAGTCAGTACATACACATGGGCATTATGACTCTCCTTCCACTTCCTTCTCTCCCTCCTCCTGCCCTTCTTTCTTTCTCCCCCTCTCTCTTCCTGCCCCCGCTTGCATTCACCTGTGCCCAGGCGTAGCAGGTCTCTGCACATGACCAGTCATTTTTGCCTTCCACCTAGTGGGTAAGCAGGGTCCTGGAGGTGCCCTGGCCCAGCTCTGGGCAGAGGAGGCAAGAGTGCCCTCTTCCTGCTCTAATCCAACTCCATCAATAACCAAGCTGATACAGAACTTTGATTCCCACTTGTCTCATCGTGTCTGTTCCCGATTGTTAAGATCTGGATGCAGAAGAGGGGTGAAAATTTAGTACCTTCAAGACTCCAGCAATTATATGTTAAATGCATAGGAGTTGCTGATCAAATTCATAAGAAAGCAGGCGACTAAGGCAAAATATCTCTCATATTCTATCCTGTAGGATGAATTGTTGGAGTCATAGGGTGTAAATCTCTGTCCCACCTCCTAGGAGTGGCATCTTATCTTTCCCATGAAGCAAGATGGCGGAACGAGCCAGGAGATGACTGAAGAGCACACACCATCCTTGCCTTCTGTAAACCAGCTGAGGGGCACCATTCCCTTCACTCAGCACATAGCTACTGAGTTCTTATGCTGTACCCGTCAGGGAGCCCGCTGCCAGGCTGGAAGGAGGAATAATAATGCTCCACAAAGCCTTACCAAACAGGGCGAGGGGCAAGTCCTGCCACACCTCGATCAGCCTGAAGACCATGAAGGGAGTGATGATCCCACCCACATCACACAGGGAGGAGCACACCATCATTCCAAGGTTCCTGATAAAATACAGAGGACAAAAATGCTTACGTGTCTGTGATTCACTTTTCCAAGTGTCACCTGGTCCTAGAGCAGACAGGATGCCCACACTTGTGGCTCGCTGCAGATGACCAGGGCTCAGCACCCCAGAGGAGCCGTGGGGACAGGCCGACGTGGTCCTGAGAGGACGTGACTGGCTAGAGTGAACGCTGGCACGAGCTGCCCATGCGACTGAAGAGAGCCTGCCTCTTGTTAATTACACGTCCAAATATTGAGCTCTCAGGAATGTAATTCCTGAAGAATTGCTACAAGCCCAGGGAGGGAGATAACAACAGCACGTGCTACCTGCTCTTCATCTCACCTTTACCTCGGTGCTGTCCCAGGGCCATGATCTGTCCTCACCTGTGAGGAAAGCACAGTGTCTAGGGGGTACTGGCTCTAGGAGGATCTGGGCTCCTCCCGACCCTAGGACTCTGGGAGTGGGGCCGAGCTAGGAGGGAAGTCTTGACTAATCTGCCCAGCGACTGACCAAGCCATCAACTCGATGGCCATCAAGGCACCCTCAGAGGAGACTCGTAGGAAGAAAGGAAAGGAAGGGGACTAATTACAATGAAGGATCTGTCATTGGAGCTCTCGGTTAAGCTGTGTCAAGGAATGTGGTTCGTGTGCATCTAACACAGAGGAAAGATGTGTTGCACAAGGTGACCAGCCTTAAGTATAGGTTCCCAAGAGGAAAATGAATTCTAGCTTCTAGCACTGGCACCATGGGGTAGGGGCATCTACAGTGCTGATGAGGACAATCTGGTGCTGAACTGGGAGTTGTTGAGGAAGATAGGGCTGATTGTCGAGTCTAACTTAAAGTTTCTTTCCTGTGGCTGAAAGTTTTGGTCTCTGTTGAGGGAAGAATGTTCCTGGGAGAATGAGATTTAAACTGTGATCAGTCACTTTTTCCACCTGATGAGTGGCTAGGGATGCTCAGAGCAGGTGTTAAGAGCTGGAAGGCTCTGGGAGGCTGAGGCGGGAGGATCACTCAAGGTCAGGAGTTCAAAACCAGCCTGAGCAAGAGTGAGACCCCAGTCTCCACTAAAAATAGAAAGAAATTAATTGGGAAACTAAAAATATATATATAGAGAAAAAAAAATTAGCCAGGCATGGTGGTGCATGTCTGTTGTTGCAGCTATTTGGGAGGCTGAGGCAGGAGGATCACTTGAGCCCAGGAGTTTGAGGTTGTTGTGAGGTAGGCTGATGCCACGACGCTCTAGCCCAGGCAACTGAGTGAGTCTCTGTCTCAAAAAAAAAAAAAAAAAAAATTAAAAAGCTGAAAGGGAAAGAACTTCCACTAGGGAACCGGATATGCATGAAGAGTTAAGGAAGGGTTAACAGGGGGTATTAAGGAATGGAGGACACAGAAAGCTAGAAGGGAAATATGTAGAGAAACCATCTACTTGAAACCACCCTCCTTATCCCTAGGAATATTCTTTGCTCTGAAATCTACTATTTGATATGAGTATAGCCTCTCTGACTTTGTTTTGATTCATGTTAGTATGCAATATCCTTTTTCATTCTTTTACTTTTAAACTATCTTTCCCCTTATATTTAAAGCGAGTTTCGCATAGGTGACATGTAGCAGTTGGGTCTCACTTTTTTGTCCAATCTGACAATCTCCGCCTCATCGGAATTCTCTATGTATTAAATGATTTGTAAAATTCCCCTTCAAAAACATTGTAGATTTCTTCTTTATCATTATTTAGGACCTTCCTTGTCATTACATGTTTTTCCATAAATTCAATTTTGATAAGATTTTGATATTTGTCATATTTTTGTTTGCATTTTCCTAATATGCTTTTGTGCCTTCTTTTCTTTTTAATGTTTCTGAGGAAAAGTTGTATTTCAGGTATGCAGCATATTGTTAGGTTTTGCTTTGTAATCAAATCAGGGAGTCTTGTTTTCTTTTTTTCCAGTAGAAGAGCTGAGAAATGTCAGAAATGTTTGGCCTTAATTCTATCATTAGCTTTTTTGTTTTGCTTTTTTTTTTTTTTTTTCAGTCTAGTGGATGTGTAATATTGTTTTGCTTTTTATTCCTTCTGGTGTCTTTTCTTTTTTAATGTGTTGGTTATGTGTATTTTTTCCTGATAATTTGGAAGAGTTATATTTTTATTTGAAGGACTACCTTTATAACTTTATATAATACAATTAATATTCTATTCTGTTAGACAGTATTAATTTCCTGTGATGAAAAATTATAAAATTAGTATACTTCTATTTCCTCCTCAAACCATTTCCTTCATTCCCTGATTGTAGTTGATTATATCATTAGTTTTAGCATTTGCCTTTATATTAATATCTTAAAATATACCCAAATTACTTAACATAGTTTCCAATGATACACTTTTTTAAGGAAATCAGTGTATTACACCATCTCCAACATTCCCTCTCTCTTCTCTTTTCAATCTTGGTTAGTTATATTTCTTTATTGTCAGATTTGTGACATTTATATTCTGTTTTGTAACTAATATGGCATTCCTTTTAGTCTCAAATTCAATGATCATCACCAATAACTTTGATACATAACTCCATTCATCACTGTGTTCATTGAATTTTTTTTTCTCTAATAGCTTTTTTGGGAGAGGTTCATAGGAAACATCATCTTTGAGTATTTTTAAATGATTGACAATTGCTTTTATATAGGAATGAGAGTTTGGCCTTTCTCCACAGAGAACCAGGCATTCAGAACCTTTGACATTTTGAGTCAGTCTCTTGGGTCCAGTGGCCATGACAATGGAATTGTTTGGCCCGGCTATTTTAGACTCTGTGCTCACAACTGCCAAATATAGAAAGCTTTTTTTCTTGAATTTGCTTTTGCCTCCTTGCACTCAGTCCAAGCAACTTTTTACAAATGAGAGGCTAAGAAGGAATAGACAGGAAAGAGAGAATCGGGGTCACACTCGCGTCTCTGGCTTACTGAAGGGCTCAGAGCCATGCAGGTGTGTAAGGTGAGTCTGGGCAGCTGGGCTAGTTCTTAGAAACCAGGAGTATGATGACAAAGAAATGATTTGTACAGAGGAAAAAAGGAGTTTAAGGTAATATGCAAAATTCTAACAAAGGTCCGTTTAAGATAAAGGCAATTTTTAAAATTTAAATAAAGTGGTTACTTTTATAATTAAAATAACCTTCATTAAAACTAAGTCTTCTAAGACAGAAGGCAATAAGTGCATGCAAAGACACTGAACAATATTAGTAACTATGAAAAAATAAAGTCACAATAATACCACTACCTCCCAGAACAACTTTTAAAAAGCCAACAATCCCAAACACCAGTGAGGATGTGGAGCAACTGGATCTCTCTAGCATGGCCGGAGAGAAGACAGAATGGCACGGCCACTTTGGAAAACTGTTCGACTTTTCCCATAGAGTTAAAAACGCACTAAACCATGTAACGCAGCAATCCTACTCCTAAGTTTTTACCCAACAGAAATGAAAACGTGTCCACTCAAAGATTCATACCCGAACGTTTATAATAGCTTCCAAACTGGAAGCAGCCCAAACATACCTTAAGTGGTAAATGGATAAACCAGGGGTGGGGAAACTTTTCATGCTGGAAGCCTGTATTAATTTAGCTGTAATCAAATAAAGCCACATTCAAGAAACTTCAATTAGATATAATGAGAAACATACATTATTTTGTAAAAATATAACTATGTACTCAATAATTTCAAAAAGTGAAAACTAGTTGTTAATTTTAAAGTTAACTAACCTTTTTAATGACTTTGTTGTATCTGCTTTTTGTTGGAAAGCATGTGATTATTTGGTGGCAGCATGGAGGTCTGCAGTTTCAGTTGATCTTCTACATGGGTATCAGTCATCTGTGACTTTAAGGGTGTCTTGATTTGGGTTGGGTAGGAGAATGTAGATTCATAGAAATAAGTGGTTGAAAAGCAAGAAAGCATTTTTCGGGCATGTTGCTGAAGGCATGGGTATTCTACTGCATTTTTCCATATTTCAATTGGATCTTTCTTAGCATCAAACAATGAGTTTAAAATGGCATCTACTTATGAGGACTTCATATTAAGAGAAAAAATAAAATAAAATGTCATCTACTGAGAGCTCAATCAATTCCATCTGTAGTTCTTTAGGTGCCTTGGTGACTTCAACCAGGTGAGGCTGAAATGCTAACTATAGTGCAGTGCCATGATTCTCAAAGCCAGTGAACCTTTCCTTGTATTCTCCAATTAATAGGTCTATAACAGCTGTTTATTCTTCAAATGATTTTTATATATCATCCTGCTCATCAATGACCTTTGCTAGCTGGGGAAAATGTTCATCCAAAATTTCCTTTTGAAGAATAAGTGTTTTGAAAAAAGGTAGCTATTTTTCGAAATGCCTGGATTTTTTGCCACATATCATATATAGACTTAGTTTTACCTTGCAAAGAAATATTCAAGTCATTTTGATTTGAGATGCTATCACACAGAAATGCTACATTCCTATAGAAATCTTCTTTCAGTAATTCACATTGCTGATTCTATCCTTCATAAAATTTTGGATCAAAATTGTATCTGTTCTCACAGAGATAAAATTTTGGCTAACACCTCTCCTGCAATAGCTAACACACTTTGGAATGATACAGCAAATCCACACTGAATATCTCATCATTTAACTTTAGCATGTTACAAAACTGAGGGTGCCATATTGCATTTGCATGAATATAAGTAACAATATATATAACTTGTTGCAAAATGTCACATAAAATAGTAGCTTTAGCACAAAGATTTTGCTGATGCAAGATATAATGAAAAGAAATGAGAGTATCTGGATCTGTTAATACTTTTTTTTTATTGTGCAATAAACCTTTCATGTTTTCCTATCATGGATGGTACACTGTACATACACTCACTAAATTTACCAAATTCCATCCAACTTCACAACATTTATCTTGAAAATCATTGAAGATATCTATTCTCTGTGTTCTGTTCACAAGAGTGCCCAAAGTGAGTAACTCATCATAGCAAAGAAAATCTTTTGTTATGACCCGAATGAGGTATAAAACCTGTGCCGAGTCAGTAGTATCAGTTGATTCATCCAAAGAGATTAAATAATATATATTTGCCTTTTGAAGTATTGCATGAAGTTGTTCTGGTAAGTTGAAGGCTAATTCATGCTGCCAATCAGTTACGGTTCTCCTTTAAAGAGGCAGTTGTTTGTACTTTTAAACCTTCTCGGGGGTCTAAGCATCCTACGACTTTGACAATGCACTCTTTCACAATTTCTACATCACTGAATGGCTTCCTTCCCCCCCTCCCCTGAAGTATATAAGCTACTTTATAAGTTGCTTCGGTGGCATTATTTCCAGGTCTTACTGCTGCTTGAAAGAATTGTCTTTGCTTTTGCTTTTCATCTTTTAATTTCCGCAATACAACCTTTGGCACCTCTCCCTCTAATTTAAAATATTTGTGGTCCTTATGAGTGTCATAATGCTGATGAACACTGAATTTGTTTATGTTAATATTGTAGTATCAGGAAGCAAGCAAATCATCTTATCTTTAGCAGAAACTCAATAATATTGCAATCCTCATTTAAAAATCTATTTTCTTCCCTCACAGTTCTCTTGGTCTTCTTTGACATGATGGGCTATTAAGCAGACAGAATTAAAAAATACTGTCGACCTGTGCAACTATTTGCAAATTCCACTTCCAGCAGAAACACAATGCACCATTGTCAAAAGCTGATAACAGACTGGTGCACTTGACCCCCATAAACTCTCGCCAACCAGCCTCATCCTGTAGTGGCGAGGGTCAGGCGGGGGAAGTTAGAACTAAATCATGAGCATAGAGCTGTCAATTTAGCCCTTATGGCTTACTAACTGGAAGGATTGTTTTGTCGAAACTTATTTTATTTTTTGGTATTTTAAAATACCTTCATTTAAAAAATAAAATAAAAATATAAAAGATGAGCAAAAATGTATTAGTAAAAATAAAAGGATTTGTTCTGCAAAATTTGGATTCAGTCAAAAGGCCACACTTAAGGACCTAGAAGGCCACATATGGCCTTAAGGCCGCAGGTTCCCCACCCTGGGATAAATGAACTGAGGTACATTCCCACACTGGAATGTACAACCGAGCAATAACAAGGAACAAAACGGTGATATACGCAGCAAGGTGGATGAATCCCGTTACGCTAAGCGAAAGAAGGCAAACACAAAAGGCTACCTGCCATATTATTCCATTTACAAGCCATTCTGGAAAAGATAAAACTATAGGGACAGAAATCAGATTAGTGTTTTCCAGAGGCTGTAGGTGGGGAGAAAATGGGCTTGACTGCAAAGAGACATGAAAAAACTGTTGGGGGTGATGGAAAGAATCTCTATTTTGATTGTTGTGGTGGCTAACTATATGTTGTCATAACTCATAAAACTGCATTTTAGAAATAGTGAATTTTATTCTGTGTAAATTATGCCTCAATAAACCTGAATTTTAAAAAAAGTAAGTTCTTCGGCACCAAAAGGAAAGCAACACAAGCAAACAGATAAACCGGACTTCATCGAAATCAGAGCTTCTGCGCATAGAGGGATACGATCAACAAAATGAAAAGGCAACCCATGGAACGGAAGAAAACGTTTGCACATCACACTTCTGATAAGGGGCTAATATCCAGACCATATAAAGCAATCCTACAATTCAACAACAACAAACAAACAACCAACCAAAAACCGATTCAAATATGAGACAAGGACTTGAGTAGACATTCTCCAAAAAGATAGACAACGGCCCAGGAGCATGTGAAAAGCTGCCCAACGTCCCTCACCACCAGGCGGACCAAAGCACGGCGAGCCACCCTGCACACCTGCCAGGATGGCGTCCGCCAAACAGAAGTGAGGAGTGCCGGGGAGGACGTGGGCGATTGAGACCCTCGTGGACTGGTGGTGGAGATGTGAGGTGCGCGGTAGGGCAGCCTCAGTGGAAAACACTACAGCAGTTTCGCACAATGCTAGACATAGAATTGCATTATGATCTCATCGTTTCCCTTCTGGCACGTACCCCAGAGAATTGAAAACAGAGTCTTGAAGAGATATTTGTATGCCTGTGTTCATAGCAATACTCTTCACGACAGCCAAAGGTGAAAGCAACGCAACTATCATTGAAAGATGAATGGTTAAACAAAATGTGGTGTGTGTGTGTGTGTGTGTGTGTGTGTGTGTGTATCATTCAGTCTTAAAAAAGAATAAAATTCTGGCCGGGCGTGGTGGCTCACGCCTGCAATCCTAGCACTCTGGGAGGCCGAGGCGAGCAGATCGCTCAAGGTCAGGAGCTCGAAACCAGCCTGAGCAAGAGCGAGACCCCGTCTCTACTAAACTAGAAAGAAATTAATTGGCCAACTAAAATATATATATATACAAGAAATTAGCCGGGCATGGTGGCGCGTGCCTGTAGTCCCAGCTACTCGGGAGGCTGAGGCAGCAGGATCCCTTGAGCCCAGGAGTTGGAGGTTGCTGGGAGCCAGGCTGACACCACGGCACTCTAGCCCGGGCAACAGAGTGAGACTCTGTCTCAAAATAAATAAATAAATTAAATTAAATTCTGACACATGCTACGACATGCATGAACCTTAAGGAAGTTATGCTAAGTGAAATAAGCCGGTCACACAAAGACGAATACTATGTGATTCTGCCGGTATGAGGTGCTCAGAGTAACCAAAGTCACAGACACAGAAAGGAGAAGGTGGCTGCCAGGGCTGGCGGGTGGGGCGCCTGGGGGTTGTTTCACGGTACGAGTCTCAGTGCTGCGAGAGGAGGAGACTTCCGGAGACTGGCTGCGCGGCGGCGTGAGTGGACTCACCACTGCTGAACTGGACACTTAAAAGTGGTTACGGTGCTAGATATTATGAATACCTTGCCACAGTTTTTTTCACAGTTTCCTCAGTTTACAGAACAGTGACGTGCCACAATGGAAAAAAGCACAGGCTTCGGTCAGAAAGGTGTGGCTGTGCCCCAGCCCTGCCGCTTTCTAGCTGGCAACCCTGGCAATGCCTCTCTCCCTTTCCAAACCTCCGCTCCCTCATACACGAAATGGGATAATCATGCTCAGGGACCAATGTAAGGGCCAAGCCGAATCACCGGTCTGGAAACGCTCTGTGCATCGCTGCACATGTCAGCTGTTTAAGGACTCGGGGCCCAAGTTCTTAAACTTGCGGGAGTTTACACAACTAGTTAGCGCTCAGGACTCAGGTCTCCCGCCTCCCTGTCCAGCGCTCCCTTCTCCGTGCCAGCTGCCTCCTCTCTTGCACTTACCGGCTCCACAGAGCGCAGCTTGCCCCCTCTGTCACTTCACATTCCTGCTATAATTAGGGCTTGACCCCTCTCTGAGGTCCGACCCCATCTCTCTGACCATGCGTTCCTAACAATGCCACTTGACATCCAAACTGATCGGCCAAGCCTTGGAGCGTCTTGGGGAAATGTTCTGAAACCGTCGGTCCTCACCGAGCCTGGCTCACCTGACCAGCCCTTTGGGCACTCACCTGATGAAGGTGGGGTACAGCTCGGCATTCACCAGGCAGAGCGTCTGGGCCGCGATGGTGATTCCCATTCGGCCAACACAAGCCACTGTGATCTTCACCCAGTGCAGGTCTGGAAGGGACACGAAGAGGGGGTGTCAGTGGGTGGGGGCTCTGCTCCCTGGGCTGCTTCAAGAAGCCCTGGCGGGCTGTGCTTGGACAGCTAGCGCTGCCGGGGCTGGAAAGGTTGCTCTATCTAACCTTTTCATTTTGCGGTCAGTAAACTGAGTCCCGAGAGATTTCTGGACACATTTGAGGAGACTCCATTGTGCAGAGGAAAGAACGAGCTTTCTGAGTCTCAGCTTGGTTTCTGAGCTCCAAAATGGGAATAATTATATCCAGCTTGTAGGTTGCCATGAGACTCAGAAGGAATGTCTGTCAAATGTCCACTGTCGCCCCCGAATTATAAAGTTGGCTTTTCGATTATCATGTAGTGGTGTCCACTGCCAGCACAGAGCCTGGAGCACACAGGCACTCGATAAATGTGGTTCCTTCAGGCACTAGTTCCCAAACTAATGGAATGAATTTCTTATTCTCAATCTAACGTTCATTTCAACACATTTTTAACTGAACCGTCTTTCATAATGGCCTCGGAGACTGAGAATTAGGGCAGCGAGCTTGGTCTCACCCTGGCAGGCCGCGGTGGGCTTCTCGATCACCCGAAGGAAGGCCCAGGAGGAGCCCTCTCCTGGGGGCTGACCGAAGAATTGGGCTTAACCAGAAGGAGCCTGAGATCCTCGGTACCACTGTCACCTGCTTTACCTGGCTACCCCAACACTATAATGCAAGTGGCCTTGTGACATGCCAGCTCACCAAAAAGGCCTCATGAACGTTGTCATCTCGACCCCTGTCCCCGGACACTGGCTGCATACCGGAATCTTGATTCGTGTCACTCGGCTGGCGTGAGGTTCCAAGAGACAGTGGAACTTGCTCACCCAGGGGTGCAACCCGGCCCCCCTGGCCTCCTGCGGCCCTCGGCCTGGCGGAGAGCCCACCCTGAGCCCTCAGTGAAGGACCACACCCCTTTAGCAGCTAAAAGACAAAGGGCCTTTCAGGTGTTCTTGGGGAGCTCTTTGTGCACAGGTCTTTCGTCTGGAGGGAGCACTGCTGGGGAGGAACCGCAGCCCCGACCGCAGATGGGTGCCCTGTCTCCGCTCCGCACCGCGGGGGCCACTCGTCACGCCGGCCAGAGGGACTCACTTAAAACCGGAGTCAGGTCAAGTCAGCCCCTGCTCAAAGCAGACTCTGGGGACGAAGCCCATGCCTGCCTCTCTCCGGAGGACTCCACGCCTCCCTCTGCCCGCCGGGCTCACCCCGTTCCAATCCCGGCAATCCCGAGCTGCTCCCCCAGTGCCACACTCTCCCCACCCCAAGGTCCTTGCACCAGCCGGAACACTCTGCCCAGATTTTTACGTGGCTCATTCCCACTTCACTTAGGTCTCCCAAGGCCTCCCTGCCCACTGGAGAAAGAATTAACACCCATCACTCCCGAGCCGTCTCTCTGTCCTCCCAGGTCAGGTCACGGGGCAGGGACTTTCTCCGCCTTGCTCACCGCAGAGATCCTAGGACCTGCAGGCCTGCCGGCCACACAGAAGACCTCAGGGGGTTTCCTGGAGGGAGTGAATGACTCTCGGGCATTCTGATAGGACGACGGCGGGGGCAGGTGGAGAGCCCAGGCACCAGGAGGACCGTCCCGGGGAGGGGGCGACGCCTGAGCTCTGCCAGGTGAGGATGGGACAGATTCAGCCCTCGGTCACTCTCTTGCCTGGTACTCACTGCTGTTGCTCTTTAGAAGTCTGCCCCTTCTTCACGCCTAACCCAGGACTCCAGACACAGGGAGACGGGGAGGAAATGGGGAGCATGTGTTTCAGATCCACTCCGCCTCTTGTCCTGCGGTCTCTGCTCTTTCCCCGTAAAAGGAAGGAGAAGAAAACTGAGCTCTCTCCCCCACCTTTCTCTACGTCCAGTCTGATCTGCACAGCCTGGGTCTTGAGAGTACATATTCCGTGGGACATTTTCGGGGTGCCCTGCACGAGAGCCCGCCACGTGACCCACCGAACCAAAGTGCGCCAGCAGGAAGAACTGAGACAGCAGTAAATCTGCCTCCGTATGCATTTAACATTTCCAGAAGCAACGAACGTGAAAGGCAATTTACCCACCCAAATTAACGCTGGCTAAAGTTGATCCGTGGCTTGGTTTATCTTGGATCGTAAGCGCTACAGAGGGAAGGACACATCCACCAAATGGCCAGTGTTAAAAAGACTAGCAGCTGGGCCTGGTGGCTCATGCCTGTAATCCTAGCACTCTGGGAGGCTGAGGCGGGAGCATTGCTCAAGGTCAGGAGTTTGAAACCAGCCTGAGCGAGAGCGAGACCCAGTCTCTACTAAAATAGAAAGAAATTAATTGGCCAACTAATATATATAGAAAAAATTAGCCGGGCATGGTGGCGCATGCCTGTAGTCCCAGCTACTCAGGAGGCTGAGGCAGCAGGATTGCTTGAGCCCAGGAGTTTGAGGTTGCTGTGAGCTAGGCTGACGCCACGGCACTCACTCTAGCCTGGGCAACAGAGCGAGACTCTGTCTAAAAAAGAAGAAAGAAAGAAAGAAAGAAAGAAAGAAAGACACTAGCAATAGCAGGTGTTGGTGAAGGTGCAGGACGACCGGACCACTCACGCGTTACTGGGGACGGGAAATGCTCACTCTGGCCGCCTTGGAAGGCGCTTGGCAGGGCCCACTGCAGCGACACACGTGCCTCCCTGGACCCAGCAAACGAGCTCCGGACCTGTCCCCCAGAGACGAGGGCATCTGCCCTCCAGAAAGACAAGCGCAAGGACGTCTTTAACCCCAACGAGTGGCGCATGCTGGAGACAACACCAGCGACACTCAATAGCGGGATGGTTCCGCGGTGTAATATTCACACGACGGGATGCTCCATGATCATTTTGTAAAAGTGCAAACTACCCTCTCGTGTGAAAGCGTGGATGCATCTCACAGGTGCAAGGATGAGTGAATGAAGGGAGGCCCAAAAAAGTGCATTTGGTGTGGCTCTGCTCACCTGAAGCCCAAGAACAGTCAAAACTAAGGCGTGGAGAAAGAGGTCAGGATTGTGGTGATGGGGGTGAGGGCTGGGCAGGGGGGGGTATGGGTCGTGAAGGAGCAAAGAGACCCTTCTGAGGTGCTGGGGGTGTCCTGTGTCTGTGTCTAGGGTCACCCTGTCGGTGTGCACACGTGTCAAAATTGATTGAGATATACACTTATAATCCACTCATCACATACATGCTACATACACCTCAATTTAAAGTTTTTTTTAAAAAAATCGTAGACTAAGGCAACACTTTGCCAGTGTCCTTGTTCCAGAGGCTCATCAGAAAGTGAACAACACTATTCCCACAATCGATTTCTCGGGAAATGATGAAAATGGCCAACTCACCGTGCGAGATAAAAACCATGATGAGGCAAGCTGCCCCTGCCACCAGATTTGACACGGCCAAGGGGTAGCGGCGGCCGATGCGGTCGGTGGTGACGAAGATGACAAAGGCCGCGGGGAACTCGACCAGAGCAGAGTAAAAGAAGTCCAGGTGGAGGTTCCCGCTGGTGGCCCCCATGTGCATGATGAGGCCCTGGTAGAGCACAGAGCCGCTGAACCTGCGCGAGGGGGGGGCGTTCTGGTCAAAGGCCGGCTCCGCGGCCAGGCGCGGTGGCTCACGCCTGTAACCCTAGCTAGCACTCTGGGAGGCGGAGGCGGGCGGATTGCTCGAGGTCAGGAGTTCGAAACCAGCCTGAGCAAGAGCGAGACCCCGTCTCTACTATAGTTAGAAAGAAATTAATTGGCCAACTAACATATATAGAAAATTAATTAGCCGGGCATGGTGGCGCATGCCTGTAGTCCCAGCTACTCGGGAGGCTGAGGCAGGAGGATCGCTTGAGCCCAGGAGTCTGAGGTTGCTGTGAGCTAGGCTGACGCCACGGCACTCACTCTAGCCTGGGCAACAAAGTGAGACTCTGTCTCAAAAAAAAAAAGGCCAGCTCCGTGGAAGGGGAGCCACGGAGACAGCCCCTGCCTGCCAGAGAGAAGTGCGTGTCACTGGATTTGACCGTCCTGGAGCACCGTGAGGAGGGGGAACGAATCGGGAAGGGTGTCCCAGAAGGGCCCTCTATGCGAAACTTCCTTCCTGGCAGATGTGAGAGTGGCTTCTAGGATACACCCCCACGTCTCCCGAGACTGCGGGTGGCGATCGCTACTGTTCACTGCATGCTTGGGCGCGTCCGGCCGTGCGCCACACGCTGCCCACGCTCATCTAGCCCCGCCACGGGCCTCCAGGAGGTCGGTGGGAGGAGGCAGTGGGCAAGAGAGCAGCTTCCAGGGCCAGACTGCTTGGTGAGCTGCGTGACCTTGAGGAAACTACCTGACCTCTCTGGGCCTCAGTTGCCTCATCTGTAAATGGGCTAATAATAGCACCCACCACACTGGTGCATCTTGGGACTCACTGAGTTAGTGGACAAAAGTGCCGGCTGCAGTTCCTGGCATGTAGTATGTGCTCAATAAAGATGAGCTTTTGTTGGTGTCATCCTCGTCATCCTCCCAAGATCAAGGACCCAGAGCACCACAGAGCAGACAGCGCACTCCCTCCCCCATCTCGCGCTGTCTCAGGTGGGCACGCCCACCCACCTGGCCCCCCACCCGCGTCCGGGGGAAACACGGCAACACTACAGAACACGGCACACAGACCGCCGAGGCCTCGCCTAGTCACTCTCACGTGAGTCAAAATTTAGAGTGTTTGCTGGCGCGGTGGCTCATGCCTGTAATCCCAGAACTCTGGGAGGCCGAGGCAGGAGGATCACTTGAGGTCAGGAGTTCGAGATCAGCCTGAGCAAAAGCAAGACCCCGTCCCTACTAAAAATAGTAACAAATTAGCTGGACAACTAAAAATATATACAAAAAATTAGCCGGGCATGGTGGCGCATGCCTGTAGTCCCAGCTACTCAGGAGGCTGAGGCAGGAGGATTGCTTGAGCCCAGGAGTTTGAGGTTGCTGTGAGCTAGGCTGACGCCACGGCACTCACTCTAGTCCAGGCAACAGAGCAAGACTCTGTCTCAAAAAAATAAATAAATAAGTTAGGTGTCCATGTGTCACTTTTGGGGAGGCAATATTTCTTTGGACATTCAAAGCCTTTCATGATCACATTGGTGTTTACATTGTGAGAAGAGATTTTGTTTGATAACAAATTACTCTTATCCCAGCCTGCAAGCTGCCTGTCAGCTCCAAAGTGGATATCACAACGGATGTTTCTAATTTACAGACCTCTTGTTTTGTAAAACTTTGCCCGGAGAAGCACTGGGATGCTTTTGTTTTTGGTCCTAAATTATTCCTCTCTGGCCAGAGGGGTCAGGAGAACAGGAAGGAAGGCTCCTGCCCGAGCCCCAGTCCCCAGGCCCCCGTCCCCAGCCAGGCCATTCAGCCAGGGCTGACAGAGACCCTGAGGAAGAGGAGTGCCAGATCGATTTTCCAGGCCACAGACCAGCGCACGAGCGTGCAGGGCTGCCACCTCTGGGCAGAGCCCCTGCATTGCATGTGTCTCTTTAACAAAAACAACGTGTTACTGTGTCCGGTGCGGATGCCGGCCCCTGTTCTTAAGTGGTTTTCACAGATTCGCTCACTAATTCTCCCAGCATGCCTCGGAGATAGGTCCCGTCATTACTCCTGTTGCTGATGAGGAAACTGAGTCACAGAGAGACTAGCACACGCGGCCACCCAGACAGAGCTGAGGGATGTGTGGAAGGACTGAGCTGGGGCTTAGAGCACAGAGGCGGCGGGACACCACCTTGGGGTGCGTCGGGCTTGGAGGGGAGCCTGAGCAGTGTGCAGAGCAAGCCACCATTTATTTCCCTCCGCAGGAGCCCCCGCCTCTACCCTGCAGGTGCCGCTGAGCAGACGCTGGGCATCTGCGGAGATCTGCTGGGCAGGGGCGCTGTCTGCAAAGGCTCCCGGGCCCAGCGTGTGGACGGGCCAGGACCTCAGGGTCAAACACAGGGACGGGGGCAGGGGGTGAGGGCGAGTCAGGACAGGGCGCAGGGAGCCTGGTGACCAAAGAGCTTGGTGGTATGTGCAGCGGTGGTTATTCATTCAACTTCCAGCAAATATTTATTGAGGGCCTGCTATGTGCCAGCCATGCCCGTCCCAACTCTGTGTTGGAAGTGCAAGCCGGTGTCCCCGGGAAGCAGGGCAGGCCCCGGGGGGAGGGGAAGGCCCTGGGTGCAGGTGGGGGAGAAAGCCCTTCTGTCGGGGAGGTGACCCCATGTCCCCTGAGGGCACAGGGTAGGGACTCCTCCTGTCATAGCAACTGGGGGGGACGCAGACCCCGGGAGTGCTCAGGGGCACGTGTGTGACTTTTCTGAGTATCAGTGCGTGACACTCTCTGGTAGGGGCCGTGAGGACTTCAGATGTGAGAAGGAAACTTCCCCCCTGAAAGGTTGAGCCCTGAGACCTGCTCCCCCGTCTGACCGCGAGGCGCGACTTGGCTCTTTCCAGATGAGACGGCGTAGGCGGAGGCAGCCTCGGAACCCCTCTGTCCCGTTCCACCCACCTTCCTGCCGCCCTGTCCTCCTCCCCACTAAAAAGAAGACCTTTTCCCATGACCCAATCTTCGTGGGGGCAATAAGGGCCCTTTGGCCACTCAGCAACTGTATTAAACTCCCTTTCCAGCCCGTGCGTGGTGGCTCACGCCTGTAATCCTAGCACTCTGGGACGCCGAGGCGGGCCAATTGCTCAAGGTCAGGAGTTCAAAACCAGCCTGAGCCAGAGCGAGACCCCATCTCTTCCAAAAAACAAAAAAATAGAAAGGAATTAATTGGCCAACTAAAAATATATACAAAAAATTAGCCGGGCATGGTGGCGCATGCCTGTAGTTCCAGCTACTCGGGAGGCTGAGGCAGGAGGATGGCTTGAGCCCAGGAGTTTGAGGTTGCTGTGAGCCAGGCTGACTCCACAGCACTCTAACCCAGGCAACAGAGTGAGACTCTGTCTCAAAAAAAAAAAAAAAAAACCTTTTCACCCTCCTCTTTTCCCACCTGAGTTTCGCCCGTCTGCAATCTGTGCCGGGCGGGCGGGCCTCACCATAGGTACATGAGGATGAAGGTGCGCTTCCTCAGGCTGGGTGTGCGGAACAGCTCTGCGAAGCAAGGGCTCAGCTTCCCCGTGGCGTCCTCCTCCAGGGAGAGCATCTGGGGGGCGTCAGCGCGTCAGCCCCGCCCGAGCCGCGGCGAGCAGAACCGTCCCTGGGCGCCCCAGGTGGGCCACGGCCGCCGCTGCCACGCCCCACGCCCTCCCCGGCCACGGTGTGGCCCAACTGCCTCCCCGGCCAGCCCCAGGGGCACCTTCTACATGACAAAGCCAACCCCAGGCTCAGCGACGCCCGAAACCCCTTCCTGGCTCTGTCACCTTCACGTCCTCAGGAGGCAGCTTCCCGTTCTTCTGGGCGATGTGGTTCATTATCTCCACGGCCTGAGAGTTTCTCTTCTGCGACAGCAGCCACCGGGGGGACTCCGGCACGCACCTGCGGACACGGTTCAGCCGGCGTGGCGCTTTCGCCAGAACCCGTCTGACCGGGAGCCCGAGGAGGGTGACGCCGCTGGTCGGGGCAGCCTGCCCTCCTCCCACGGGACGGAGACTCCAGGCAGCGGGGGTGAGAATCCGAGGTCATCGCTGTGCGCTGGCCGTGTGGCCCGCGCGGAGCTCCGAGGGTCCCTCCTACTCTTAGTGCCGCCAGCTAAGATGTACCAACCAACAGGGAGCCACCGTGTCCTGCGCTGCCTTCTCTCTACGGAGCAGGCGCCGTCTCTCCTGGAAGTGGCAGCCCTGGTCCCCGGGAAAACACTCACTCGGAGCAGTCGCCCCCCCTCCCCGGCTGCTCTACATCGGGGTGTCTCCGTGCAACACAAGGGCTGCTGGACACCTCTCAAAATCTCTCCCAAACAGAATAAAATGAATTTACTTTTCTTTTAAAATCAGAGCAGGGCCGGGCGCGGTGGCTCACACCTGTAATCCTAGCACTCTGGGAGGCCGAGGCGGGCAGATCACTCAAGGTCAAAGTTCAAAACCAGCCTGAGTAAGATCGAGACCCCATCTCTACTATAAATAGAAAGAAATTAATTGGCCAACTAAAAATATATAGAAAAAATTAGTCGGGCGTGGTGGCGCATGCCTGTAGTCCCAGCTACTCAGGAGGCTGAGGCAGGAGGATCGCTTGAGCCCAGGAGTTTGAGGTTACTGTGAACTAGGCTGACGCCACGGCACTCACTCTAGCCTGGGCAATAAAGTGAGACTCTGTCTCAAAAAAATAAATAAATAAATAAAATCAGAGCAGCACCATGCTGTCTATGTCAAACGGGACACAGATGTCACAGCGCAAATCTTGGGGCTCTCTGGGATAAGGGTCCTCTGAAAACACACAGGCGCCACCTCCCCTGCCCGACCATCGGCCATGGAGACTTGGCCTGGGCGATATAAACACGAACACGCGGGAGAGGAGAGCACACAGAGGAGAGAGAAGAGGGGAAGGGGGAGAGGACCAAGAAGACCACGAGGAGAGGACGTCTGAGCTAAAGCCAGCAGCGGTGGGGGACACTCCGGGGGCCGCCAGGGGCAGTAGCCACCACAGCAAACCCGCCGCTCATCGGACCTTCTCCAGGTACTGGCCGCTTTGCACAGATTGTCCCTGGCTGACCCACCGAGGCCCCTCTCCCCGCTGCCAGCGTGGCCTGGTGTGTCCAGAAGGTGCACACTCTGAAGCCACAGGATTCCCCCGAATTTTTGTTGGACTCTTAGCACCGCTGGAGGTGAATTTAAAGAGGCTGTGTCTGAGGAGAGCTCCCCACGCAACGAGGATCGCCGTAATACCAGAGCAACCTGGACGGCACGAGTGGTGTGAAGGCCAGGCTCCGGGACAGCCCCGTGCCTTGTGCGTGGGGACGCCAGGCGCTTTGGATGTCGGGCGCCCCTCACTCCAGAGCCGGGTCCCACGCGCGGATGGCGGCGGAGCGGGAGGAGCGGGCGGGAGGAAGGGCCTTACCAGTAGTTGAGCAGGAAGAGGAAGGTGGGCAGGGAGACGGCCAGCTGCAGCCAGCGCCAGTGGGGGATGGCGTAGGCCAGCCCGGCCAGCAGCACCAGCCCCACCGTGAAGAACGCCTGGTACAGGATCGCCACCGTCCGTCTGTAGTCCAGGCCGACGAACTCTGTGACTGCAAGGGGAGACCTGGTCGTCACGCAGGCCCTCACGGTGCTCAGAAGCCGAGGGCCCCTGTCCCCTCCGTTTCTCCCCGGGAGCGACTGAGCCTCCCCCTGCCCCACCTGCCCCAGCCTCTTTCTGTCCCGTGTCCTGCATTTCTCCTTCCCCCAAACGCAGCAGCGCTCAGCTCTCACCTTCCCTGCGCCCCTCACACCTGTCGGCTGAAGCCCCCAGGTGCGCCAGGCTGCTCTGTCCCCGGCTTTTCTCTGCCTGTCCCTTTTTGACTCCGTCCTCCTGGAAGCTCCAGACGGAGCCAGGAGACTTCTCAGGACCCGGGAGTGTCCGTTAATTGAGCAAACATCTCTGCGTGCAAATATCTCTGCGGGGACCTGGCACTGCTCTGGGTGTCGGGCTGCTCCGTGGCACGAGAGTCCTGCCATGGCGTCCTCGCGTCCCCGTGAGAGACGGCAGACAACCCATCGCACGTAGCAGATTCCACACCGTGTGAGAACCCCACCATGTGTGGCACGTGGCTCTGACCCAGTCAGTCCTCCGCTCGGGGCCGGCCGTGCGTGTCGGCAGACAGGGCCGCGCAGGCTCAGCCCGCGGACGGGCTCGCCCGCGACACTTCCCCAGCCGGCTCATGGCTCTCAAGGTAGGAACCGGGTTTCTCTGGGCCCTAGCGGAGCTATTTCTTGGAAGAGGGGTGCCAGGTGACGGGACAGAGTCTTCAGAGGTGACGGGACGTGGCTGTGGATCGCCCTCACCGCTCTCTGTGCCCCAGCCTGGGCTCGGGGAATACAGGCAGCCGTTGCACGGAAGGGAACTTTGGTTTCCTGTTATTACCTTTCATTCAATATTTGAAAGGAAAAAAACATGGGCTAACATGTAGAACTGCTCATGTTGGTTTATACCTCAATTTTCTGAAAAACCATAATGTTTCTCTCCTCTGTTCCTTTATCATGTGCTTTCTCCCTAACTCTGGTGTGCCATTCAGACCAGGTGAGTTTGTTTTATTTCTTTCAAGGAGTTGCTGGTTCCTTCATATTTAAGGTGTTAAAATATTCTCCCACCTGTCTCTGCTTCCCGCACCCCCTCACCGCCAATCTTTCGTTCCCCAAATAGATTAGTTGACATGGAAACTGCGATCTAAGCGACTGTGTCTCAGATACGAAGAGAGAGCAAAGGAGGTCGCACCTGCCCACTCTCTGCCCTGGTCGCACAGACGTGTACGCGCAACCGGTGCTCCCGCGAGCCCCCCAGACCACAAACATGCCCCCAAAAGCCCCCACTCCACGCCTGGCCCCCTCCCACTCCACCCGCCACCCGCCTCTGCAGGTCACCAACGTCCAGGCAGCCTGGGCCTTGGCGTGCTTACTCAGGGTGTAGCCGGCCATCCAGCTGCCCTTGCTGACCAGCCCCTGCAGCAGGCGGAAGAGCAGCACTGACACGTAGCCGGGCACCAGGGCCATGAGCACGCCCGCCACCGCGTTCACCAGCACGGTAGCCAGGAGACACAGCTTGCGGCCAAACCTGCAGAGACGGGAGACGGGGAGGGTGACAACTGGGGTTCAGACGTGCAATGGGACACCAAGGGTCCTGGGGGGAGGCCCACCACGCTGCTGTCCTGGCAGACCAAGGCCATCCTGGGGGACCACAGGGGACGGTCGGGGCAGCACCGCCCAGCACTCGGCCTGGCCGTCGGCCCCCAGAAGCTCTGCAGCTCTCGCTGGGCCCAGTGGGGAGTCCCAGGCCCTCCCGGCCCGCCCCGTCCTCCTATGTGGAGCAGACGGCTGCTAACTCAGCGAACAGGGCGTGCCGAAAACCGTGCTTGTCCCCTCACATGGCTAAGCTCACAATGGTGGTGGAAGCCTTTCTGTGAAAACATTCAGTCCCAGTGGTGTCGCCAGCGAGGACGGACTCTCCTTGCGTTGTTCCTGGATGGAGTGGCGAGTTGGCTCCTAACGTTCCAACCAGCAGCAGCTTCGTGGGCTCCATCTTTTCAACCGCATCCCCCGTCGGACAGTCCCGAGGGCGCCAGGGGCGAAGTCACCCAGCCCAGCCTGCCCTGTCCTCTCTGCCACGCTCTGCCGTCCCCAAACCCACTTCGCCCTCCAGCCCCGTCCGCTGCCTCAGGCCTCCGCCTCTTCCCGGCACCGCCCCACTCCCGCCAGTAAACGCCCGTGTCCTCTACGGACCAGGGGAACTTCTCGCCCGGAGGGCCAGCCCCGGCTGCACGGTGTTGGTCTCCTGTGTCCCTGCCCTCTGAGCTCGGCCGGGTCCCTCCCTCCCTCCCATCCGGGTCCCTCGCCATCCTCCTCTTCCCTCCACCACGGCCCTGCCCGCCCTGGACCCCCAGGCTGTGCCCGCTCCGCCTCCTCACCTCCCTCGCCTCCCCCCATCCCCCTGTCACCTGGACAGCTCAGGTGAGAGCTGTCCACACCTGCACTCCCCTTCCTCACCGCCCGCTTCTCTTCAGCCGGCCCTGTCCGGGCACCCGCGGCCCCACGCGTGCAGACCCTGACCCTCCGCACGTTCACACTGCCCGGAGAAGACCCGTCCCTCTCCCACCGCCCTTTCTTCTAGCCGTCCTTTGCCAGTGCCTCCCTCCCGCCCGCCCGCCGCGAGCCGAAGCTCTCTCCACTCCCTCTTCTAGCGTGTCTCGAACATGTGTTACCGCCTTAAACACAGGCTCCTGGAGACAAATCCCAACTCTCGAACCCCGGCCCGAAGCTCGCTCCTGAGCTCAACTCACACACCCGACTGCCTCCTGGATGTCTCTTCCCACAGCCCCAAACTGCACACGCCTGAGCCAACTCTGGCTCCTGCATCACCCCTTCCCCTACACGCAGCTGCAGCGGAAATCCGTCCCTAACCACGCTCTCCCGCCCCAACCCAGCCCTGCACACTTGCTCGAAGCATAAACCTTGGCTTCGCCCCACCTTCCCCTCAGCCCCCGCCCCAGCTGCGCGACCCTCACGCAGCATCTCGAATCGCCCGCCTTGCAGCCCACGGCAGCCCAGAGCACAAGCGCCGCGGCTGCGCTCCACCTGGGTCTGCAGAAGCTTCCCACTGGCCGCGTCCTTCCATCCCGCCCCGGAATCCCTCTGCCCGGGGCGCCGAGGGCGCGTGCAGTCGGACTGGCCTTGCGTACCTGTCTGCCATGTAGCCGACGGTCAGGGAGCCCAGGAAGAAGCCCACGTTCACGCAGGACTGAAAGAGGTCCAGCTTCCAGGCGTTGGCACACACCAGGTCAAACTGCCAGCCACGGCACGCCGGGAGGGGCCAAAGACAGAATGGCGTGTAGGTCAGGACCACACCCTTCCGTCCTGTGTCCAGGCGAAGTACATGCGTCTCACCGCACCGGGAATCCCGGGCTGTTTCTCGGTTTTCTCTTACCGCACTTCCATAGGAAGTGCACGGACACGCAGATTTTCCCAGTGAAAGTCACACCAAGTGTGCCTGCCTCTCCTGCCTCCCCCCACCTCCTATGCCTCTGCCACCCCCGAGACAGCAAGACCCACCCCTCCTCCTCTTCCTCAGCCCACCCAACGTGGAGATGATGAGGACCTTTATGATGCTCCACTTCCACTTGATGAACAGTAAATATATTTTCTCTTCCTTTTGACTTTCTTAAATAATATTTACTTTTCTGGCCGGGCGAGGTGGCTCACTCCTGTAATCCTAGCTCTCTGGGAGGCCAAGGCAGGAGGATCGCTCAAGGTCAGGAGTTTGAAACCAGCCTGAGCAAGAGCGAGACCCCGTCTCTACTATAAATAGAAACAAATTAATTGGCCAACTAAAAATATATAGAAAAAATTAGCTGGGCATGGTGGTGCGTTCCTGTAGTCCCAGCAACTCAGGAGGCTGACGCAGGAGGATCACTTGAGCCCAGGAGTTTGAGGTTGCTGTGAGCTAGGATGATGCCATGGCACTCTAGCCCGGGCAACAGAGTGAGACTCTGACTCGAAAAAAAAAAAAAGTACAGTGTATAATACCTGTAACATACAAAATATGTGTCAATCAATTTTCTGTTATCAGTAAGGCTTCCAGTGAGCAGCAGGCTATTAGTAGCTAAGCCTTTGGAGAGTCAAAAAAGTTACATGTGCATTCTCAGCTGGGTGAGGAAGGGGCCGGCACCCCCAGCCCCATGTTGTTCCAGGGATGACTGTATTCCTAAGACCCTGTGTCACTCTCATCATGTATTAAATAAAGAGGTTGTTGTCAAGTGCTTTGTCATTGACACTTGGTTATCAAAGGACAAAATGTCTTTTGTAAAGGTAGCAAGTACAGATGAGCCTTCTCAAAAGAGACACGGCTGCTAGGTAAGATTTCTAAAAAGAAATACAGCCAAGTAATTTTCCAAGAACAGGAATGTAGCAAAAGAAATACAATCTGTTTTCCAGAATTGGTCAGAGATCCTTCATCATATTATTATATATTTAATTAAATAAATTGCACTAATAATTATGTACATGCTGTTGTCACGTTGGAGCTGTGACAACTGGAAAAGAGGGGAGCAGAGAAGTGTGGGGTCTCAGGGGCAGCCGGCATTGCAGCATCGTGGGGGTGGGGAGAGACTTAGGGTCCCACGTGCCGAGAGCCAGGGCAGGGGAGGGACCAGGGCGGGAAGACAGAGGGGAGGACGGGCGGGGGCTGCCGGGGAAGGGCTTGCTGTGTCTGGGGCTTCGGAGAAGGCAGAGGCGCTCTGTGGTTACAGGCCTTTGAGGAAGAAAAGCAGGACGAAGGGGCGTGGGGCAGCCCCCCTTCCCTGGCACAGAGAACAGGGAGACACTGGCACCTGCCTGGGCACGTGTGAGGCTCTCTTTAGAGCTGAGAGAGGCAGGGAGGCGGCCGCGCTCCAGGGAGACCAGAGGCTGGAGGGTGAGGGCTGGGGCCTGTCGCTGCCTCCCCGACCCGACACAGCCCCTGCTGGGTGGTGTCGGACTACACATCCCTCCTCACCGGCCCTGCTTTTCCACGCTTCTCTATTTGCTTCAGATTCATGCCTCCACCTTAGCGGGGGGGTGATGGCAGCCAGTCCCTTAGCAGCTGTGGGCCTCAGTTTCCCGATCTGAAACGGCACAAGGCACCTGTTGTTCTCCGTCACACTCGGGCGGCTGCCGTGGGCATCAAAGGTGACTGACCGCGTGAAAACTGTGTTGCTCAATTTTATAACAAACCATTTCATTTTAAACACTGAAGTTTATTACCCGCTCCCCCAAATCCCCGACGTTGCCCCCACTCTGGGGCCAGACACCCAGAGCCTCAGGGGCTCTGAACGCAGCCAGCCTGGGTGCCACCTGCCTGGAGGCGTAGCTCCTCGGCATGAGCACTTTCACCCTGAAATGTAGGTCAAGCTCTGCAGCATCACCGATCGTCAGGAACTAGTGCGTTGACTCCTGGGGACTCTCCTCTGCACGGATTCGGCGCCCGCTCCTGTGGGTGGTTCGGCCGTGGGGCGGGTGACAAGCTTCTGCTCGGGGCCACTCTCATTCTCTCCACCAATCCCAGTATTTATTTCCTCTACAATCTAGCTCAAAACACTCCTCCTCCACGGAGCTTCTCCCAGGTATAATTCACGCAAGGTGGAATTGTTTAGCCGGCGGCGCGGGGCCTCCCGCCTGCCCTGTGCTCTGCTGTCCCGTGTGCAGGGCGAGATCTCTCCTGCGGGCTCTCCGGCTGCCCCAGGGTCTGTATCCCCAACTGCTCGACTGTCTCTTGTAGCCTCACCCACGTCGCCAAGACAACTTGGTGTCTGCCGTGGGAGGAGATTTTGCTGAGCCACAGGCACAGGGGGTGTGGGATTGTTACCCCTGGGCCTCGGCTTATTCCCTGCTTGGCCAGTCATGTGGCCATTGTTTTTTTGGTTTTCTTTCTAATGTCTGCAAGTCAGTGTCTCTGCAAGGTGTTCCTGCCGCCCTTCCCGGGTGCCGCCCTGCCCCAGGACTGCGCGTGGAGCAGACAGCTCCCGAGCTGGAGGAAGTGCGTCTTACCTTCCACACACACCCCCTTCCCCAGGAGAGCTGCCTCTGCCCCCGCCCCTGCAAGGCTGTGAACCTGCCGACCTCCTCCGCTCCCAAACTCAAGCCTCGAACCTCGCCCTACACACCCGTGCACACCTGGGGGAGCTGGGGCTGCACGAAAGGCGGGGGCGGAGGGGCTGTCCCAGGCCCCTGGGCTGCCCTTGCTGGGATCTCACCAGGGCCGGGGACTCTAGCTGTCACAGCGTATACACAACAGGGCAATGCTCACCAGCTCGCCCCATCACAGGACCCCCCCCCCCAGGGTCCTTGTTAAAATACAATTTCCCGGGGAATTCTGCCTCAGCAGGTCATGAATAGGAATCAGGGGAGCCCAAGGAGTAACAGGTCCACAGCCAGCTCTGTCTCACGTTGGCCAGAGACCTCTTTCTCAGCATTTGTGCCTGATGGAAGACAGTGGCTCCCCGGCCCAGTGCAGGGCTGTGGCCGAAGCCGTGGCTGATGGAGCAGAAGCTCTTGATGGGGGAGTCAGAAATCAGGGGACATCCACGTTCCTTCCCCAAGGGACCTCGTGACCTAGCCCCTAAGCCTTGGGGTGGGAGCTAAACTTGGTGTTAAACAAGTCAGCGCACCCTCCTTTAAGCAAATTCCAATGTCCAAAGCAAAGCTGAGTTAAAATTTAGTTCTGCAGCAATGAATAACTAAGCCTAATTATGTAACGATCTAAGTAATGATCTTCGGCTTAGGGGGAGGAGCTGGGACGCAACGGGAAGGGGGGACTGAAGTGGGAGGCAATTCCCACCTGCCGCCCTCCTGCCCGCCCACCCAGGCAGCCGATCAGCCTCGAGCACCTGCAGTGGAAGCCACCCGCTGCCCCGCTCCTCAACACAGCCACGACCAACTCTCTCCCAAACCCCTTCCGGGTGGCTGTCAGTGAGCTTGCCAGGATTCCTGCGATCCTCGCCAAGGCTCCACAGCTCGCGGTCATTCGAAGCCCCTCCCAAGATGCTCTTGGGCCCCTTGAGTCTGCCCCCGATTCCTGCTGCCACCCACCGAGGTCCCCTCCCCCGGCTCCTCCACCTGCCCACACAACTGCTCTCCCGGGTTCCCAGCCTGGCCTTCAGCGGCTCTGTCCGCCCCCCAGACAGAAGCCCCCAGCCAAACCGGGTGCTCCTTCTCCCCAGCCCAAGCACTGTCTGCAACTTTTCCATGGTTTCTTCCGTCCGTTCCCACGACAGACGTGCTGTTGACGTTCCTCTCCGGGGCTCTTTCCTTGGCCTGCTCACGTGTCTCCCCACCTCTCGTGAAGCCTCCCGTCCCCCGCCACCCTGCTTCCCGCCCATTCACGAGGTCCGGCTGGGAGCATCTTGTTCCTCTGCCCAAATAAGACCAAAGTCTCTGTCAGAGTTAGCAAATAAAAATAGGGTGCCCAGTTAAATCTGAGTTTCAGATAAACAGCAGGTTTTTTTAGCATATGTTTCATGCACTATTTGTATTCCCAGTCATAGTCATCAGTATCAAATAGGATGCAATAACGGGGACATAATTGCCCTATAAAATTGTATTATCTGAAATTCAAGCATAACTGGGCATCTTGTATTTATCTGGCAACTCTATATGGGGACTGTGTGTCCCGGCCCCAAGGCGAGATACCATCGGCATCTCCCATGACTCCTACAGGACCCTGGATTCCAATCAGATTAACAGCTCATTGCTCCCTGAACTCATTGCTCCTCTCCCTGGAAGCTCAGCTCAAGCTCTCCCCCTGGCCTGGGATCGACTCCCCCTCCCTCCTGTTTCCTCCATTGCTGCTCAAAATACCCCCTGAGGCTCAGCTCCAATGCCACCTCCTCCAGGAAGGCGCCCAGGATTGGCTCACCAGCTGAGCTCTCTCCCCCTGTAGAGCCCACCGGTCCCTCTCTGCCCTGCTCACAGCACTCACCACACGCAGCCCACAGCTGGCCTTCAATGGACGCTGGCCTCACGCTCGCTGCCCCCTCCCCTCTCATCCCTGTGGGACTGCAGGTGCCTTGAGGGGCCCCACAGCCTCCTTCCCTCCCTCCTCACAGCACCACGCCCCGCGCCGGGCAGAGGGAAGCCCAGAGCACGCTGGCTGGACGCCCCGTGGGCGAGTAGATGGATGAAGGACTGCGCCTGGTCCTTCCAAAGCAGAGCGTGCCTCAGTCCCGGGGAACGGACACGTCCCCTGCCTGCCCTGCTTTCAGGAATGTTCACCTGTCCCGCGGGAGCGTCGTCGGACAGTTGAACATCCCTGGAAGGTGAGTCTCACCGTAAAGCAGGTCTCGCCAGCACCTGCTCTGCCCAGGTGAGCAGGCAGGGCGCCGACTGGGCCAGCAGGGAGAGGGGACCCTGGGCTCTCCTCCAGAAACGGCCCCAGATGTGTCCCCATGGCAACCACTAAGGAAAGGGAACCGAGGATGACAGGAGACCCGAGAAGCCCTGTGAGCCTGGGGACCGTCGGTGGGGGTGGTGGGCAGCTGGGAAGGGCGGGGGCGGGGAGCCCAGTGCCCTGGTGTTTCAGGTAGGTGGTGCCCTGGCCAAGCCGGGCCACCGCTGGCACAGCCGCTGAGCAGGCGCCGGCCTGTGGCTTCTCCAGTTGACCGGGCGCCCACGCGGGTCACAGTGCACCACTTTCACAACGGCCCGTGATGGAAAAATCCCTGGCGGCAGTTCCTGCTAACAGAGCCTTGAAGCAAAGTGCTCTAATAACCAATCAAACTTCCCAAGGCAGGCTCCTCTGCCGCCATCGCCCTGCCCCCCAGGCCGAATGGGACCAGCAGTCCCCAGCGGAGCTGCACACGCCCGTGAGGCGGTTACCATCGACCCCGGTCTGCCGGGGATGGGGGTGCCCAGAGAGCCAGGGCGGGTACCCCGGGACGCTCAGCCAGGGAGGGGCGCGGCTGGGACCCAGGCAGTCCGACTCCAAAGCCAGGGCGATTCCCAGTCCCCAGCACCCCCCTCTTCAGGTCACTTGGCATCACTCTTTTTTTTTTTTTTAAAGATGAACTATACATTTTTATTTCCACTCACTAAATTAAGCCAGAGAAAGTATGACAATTTATAAACCTGAGTTTCATTTTGGTCAGTCATTGAGCTACATAAATAGTTTTTCTTATAGATAAAGTCTTGAGGTTCTGAGAGTCTTTTCCATTATCTAGCCATTACATGTGCTGCTTTGAAATACAAAACGCAAACTATTATCTCTCCCTCTTTTTTTTTTTTAAATACTGCTTGGTTATTAAAAAAAAAAGAGAGAGAGCCATGTGTGATTTCAAGCAAGGCATCACTCTTGAGTGAAGGGCGGGCCACGGCTCTACCTGGGGGGCTTGGGTTCAGTGTGCTCTGGGAGCAGCTGGCGGCAGGTGGAGAGGACCCCCGGTCTCCCGCAGACCCTGTCCACGCAGACCCGCCCCCGCCTCGCCGGCTGGGCCTCAGGGCTCCGCGCCCTCCTCGGACACCCGGCTTTGTGGAGGATCAAACCAGAGAAGAACGCAGGGCGCCAGGACCGAGCCAGAGCCCGCCACGCGCGTGACAGGCACCACCTCTGCTCCCCCTTTCCTGACGCGAAGCAGAACCACGCGGGACGTGCCCTCCGCTCCCCCTGCCCCGACCCCCACGTCACCCCAGAGGCGGAGCCCGCCCTCACCTCGGTGACGATGGAGGAGCCGGGCGTGTCGTACACCCAGCCGTGCTCGCAGGCGCCCAGCGGCGGGCGGCTCCCGTTGGCGGCCAGGCCGGCCAGGGGGTCCACGCAGCCCAGGGCGCTGCGGTTCCAGTCCACCTCGTAGCGCCGGCACTGGCGCGGGAAGGCCTCGCCCGCGGCGCCCGGGCCCGGCGCCGTGTAGTTCAGCTCCTCCGCCCGGCTCCAGCCGCAGCGCCGGCTCAGCTCGGCCACCCCGGGGCTGCGGCAGTGGTGGTCGGGGGTGAAGCCCAGGAAGACGATGCCCACGAAGATGGGCGCGAAGGCGGCCGAGAGCAGGCATAGCGTCAGGAAGGCTCGCTTCTGGAACCAGCCGAACTCCCCGACCTGCTTCAGAACGTCGTCCACGGTGGGCATGGTGGGCCGGCACCTCGCCACCCGGGCGGGCCTGCTCTGGCTGCAGTGGACGGGTGCAACGTCTCTCCTAGAGATCTTTGAAAAGGGGTGTTTTGAAATCAAGGGGCTGTCCAAACGCGATAAGCCTGGAAGGCGACCAAGCAGAAATAATCTTTTGCCCCGCCGCGCGGTCTCAGAGCAGGGGTGGCGTGCGCAAGGCTGCCGGGCCAAGCCCGTCCTTTGCCAGGGAAGCTCGCGGGCAAGGCCAGCTGGAGTCCACCGCGGAGCGAGGCAGGGAGCCAGACAGCCCTCCGCGCAACCCCCAGTCTCTGCGGGCTCCTCCGCGAGATCACCCTCTGAAGAGCGTCTCAGAACCCAGACAAACCAAAGGCAGCAAATGGGCCTCCCGCACAGCCAGGGGCTCGCCAGCCCCTACAGCCCGCCCTCCCGTCCCCACCATCAGCTCCGTGTCCCACCCGCAGCCCAGCTCCCTGCCCGTCTCTGCTGAGCCGCGGTGGGCGACGGTGTGTGTGCTCTCCGGGCCCCAGTGCCACCTGTCTCTGAGGGGTTTAGGGCCAGAGGCCAGCGGGAGAGGGAGCCGTGGACAACCAGGGCCGGCGCTCTGGAGCCCGCAGCCGGCCAGCCACGCCTCGGCGAGCCTCGGCAATGCGCACAGCGCCCTCCGTCACGAGCACCTGCTCGGGCCTGAGCGTGCGCGACCCATGGCGTTCATTCCCCAGCAGCCTTCGGGGAGGATGCCACGTCCCGCTCCACAGCCGGGAGACAGAGGCGTCGGGAGGGAAAAGCGACTGTCGAAGTTTGCGCTGTTACTGGACTTGAACGTCGTCCTGCTCTGAAGCAAGGTCTCTGGATTTCTCCAGCTGCCCCTTCCTGCCCTAGACCCCTCCGTCAACAGCAGCTCATCTGTTGGCTCCTTTGTTCATTCAGCAAATGTCTGCTGGGTCCCTACACACTTCGAGCTGCATGCCGGGCTATGGGACACAGAGACGGGGCAGTGCCCAGCTCTAAGCTCCGTCCAGTGGGGGACGTGGACTCCGAAAGGGACAATCACTTGGGCTGTGATGGCCGTGAGCACAGGGAACCAGGGGTCCCCCAAACTAGTCCCTCAGCCCAACATGCACCTTACAAGGGAGCAGCAGGAGAGGAGGAAGACAGGAGGGCAGGGTAGATTGATAGCCGGCCGGCCGCCAGGCCAGGGCCTCTCGGCTGAGTGCGTCAGCACCTGTGACTTGCTTGTGGCCAATGGAAACAGCAGAGGTCGAGGATGACACTCCCGTGTTTATGTCCCGGAAGACTGTAATGCCCGCCTTGCTGGGAGTCTCCCTCCCTCGCTGGCTGTGATGCAGCTGGCGGCCCGGCAGGGGAGGCCCACAGGGCAGGGAGCTGGGGCACCTCTGCCTGACAGCCAGCCGGAGACCGAGGCCCTCAGTCCCAACGCTGCAGGCACTGAATGCCACCAATAGCACGCCAGCTCGGGAGTGCATCTTTCTCCAGGCAAGCCCTGTGATGAGTCCAGCTCGCTGCAACCACCCTCCTGGCCACAGAACCAGGAGACCAGGCGTGTGCGTGCTGGACACGGCTCAGTTTGTGGCGATGTGGTTACGCTGCAGTAGACAGGAAGGCCTCGGGCCTCTGGGAGTCCCAGAGCACAAGCGAGGCCTACAGGCGTGAGCCCTGTGCCGCTGCTTGTTTGTGCTGTAGCCCACTGCGTGGGGTCCGGGCCGGGTGACGCACTCCCCATGTGCCCAGCTACCCAACGCAGCCCCCTGGGGACCTGAGACCACTCCATGGTCCTCCACAGAGCACCCAGCGCCCTCCAGCAACCCGGTCTGCTGCTCACCCCTCGTCAGCCAGGCTTTCCAGAACTGCCCCCCCACGGGACTCCAGTGGGGGCCAGCACCTCCCCTGGGCAGGCCCCTCACTGCCTGGCTGTGACACAGCCTGAGATCCCAGGGAAACAGGGCCCGGGAGCGGCCTCTGCACAGGGGCAAAGCCCCGTGTGCTGCAGCCCAGAGCTGTTGGCGGAAGGCACCGCAGGGCGCCCAGGCAGAAAGGAGCCTGCCCTGCGCCAGGCCTCAGCCCCAGCCGGGGCTGTGACACAGAGGGCAGGTTAGCAGGTGCCCGGGATGCCAGGTGTTCCCTTCACTGCTGAGATCCTCACCTCCCTGCTCCGTGGGCACTGGCAGCTGGAGCCCCAAGCCCAGTGGCCCATGGGCTGGTGTGGTCAAAAGCGTGTCCCACCGCAGCCGGCTGCAGCTCCCAAATCCCCTCCCTATGGGTTTTCCTCTCTGGAGATGCTCAGTTGCTGCCCAGGGAGGGTGCAAGGGGGCTGCTGCCCAGGGGTCTGAGTGCGACCAAAACGGGGGGGGGGCAGAGCAAGGCCCTCCCCAGAGCAAGGCCATGGAGCACAGCTGGCCCACTCCCCGACACGGGAAGCAGCGGAGTGCAAAGGTCCTGCTTTCAGATGCTGGGGAGAAACTAGGGCCCCTCCGGCTGTGCCTCCCCTGTGGCCCGGCCGGGCCCCCTGCTCCCTTGCTCCATGGAGAAGAGCAGCTGCCCCCTTCCCAGCTGCTCAGACCTTGTCTCTCTTATTGGACTAGGGGGCCCCACCCACCCCCCAGCCTTCCCCTCCCCCGTCTCCCAGCCCCACGGCTCAGACCCACGAGGGCTGGCCGGACACCCCGGCAATCCGAACTGCACAGCAGCTGTTGCCGCCATCCTATGAATAGCTGAGCCTCTGGGACGGCGGAGCAGGCTCCTGGCTGAGCCACTCGTGAGCCGACAGAGCCTGTGAGTTCCCGCACATTGCAGGTGAGAAACCACGGCCAAGGGAGCTGGTCGCCTGCCCACAGTCGCGCAGCTGGCTCCAGGTGAGTCTCCAAACATCCCTCCACTCAAAGCCCATCACCAGTCACCAGTTTCCAAAACTCCCTGTGCTGCAACCCAACTCGCCAAACGTCCAACTGGACGCAGATTCCAGTGGCCGCCTCTCTCTGCTCCGGGCTCAGGACCTCCCGGGCACCAGGTGGAGACGGGGGCAGGAGCTGGCGCAGAGGCAGGGCTTGCCTGGCAACACAGAAAGAAAGGGCCGGCCTCAGCGGCAAGCCCAGATTTGCTCGGGAAGCTTTGGCCACCACGGTGCTGTCCAGGCATTCCAGGTGACGTTCCCGGTGGGGTGGCTGTCAGGCCTGTGACGACGGGGCTGTGAGAACATCAGCCACGGTTCTGCCAGTCGGTCTCGGGGGACTGAGCCTGCCAACCCCTGGGGACCCTCGGTGTGGGGGGATGGCAGCCTGGTTCAGAAGCCCCTGCTCTGGCCACTGGGCGCCCTCCCCGCCTCTCACCTCCCGGCTGTGCTCAGGGCCCTGTCGCCTGCCCAGGGCTTCCTCAGTGGGCCACCGGGTGGGCTGTTTGCCCCTCTGCGCCTGGAACAGATTCTCCCTCACAGCCTCAGGAACCAGCCCTGCCGACGCCCCAGTCTTGGACTTCCAGCCTCCACTGCTGGGAGGTGGCATCTGTGGTGCTTTGTCCCTGCGGCCCCCTGCAGACAAGGGCAGAGAGGAGAGGCCCAGGCCTGCCGGGAGCGCACGGCCTCCCAGACGCACGCGGGCCCGCGCGGGCCCCGGTCCAGGCTGCCTCTGCCTCGTCCCTTCACCAAGCTCTTTCTTCCTGGGACCTACTGAAGCATGATGCAGAAAATTCACTCATTCTCTCACCCGATCGTGCGCTCCACTAGGTGGCCCCGAAAGTCTACTTTAGGCCACGACGCAGACATCTGTGATCGGGAGAGAAACACTCCATCCCTTCCCTCGTGGAGCTTTGTACGAAAGGAAAAAATCCCGTTCGTCTGCCCGTCTACGTTCTCAGCTGGGGACCCGAGAAAAACGGGAGTCTACCAGCACGTGCACCTGGCGTGCAGCAGGGGAGAGCGGGGAGAGCCACTCCAAGAGGGGGCTTGGAGCCCCGCTGCTGTGGCGTCTTGGACAGAGCGTCCTCTGCGGAGAGGTGGCGGGACAGGGTGGAGGGGCCCCCGACCAGTGGAGGGAAGGCCCACGCAGCACGAGGAGAGCAAAGGCGGACGAAGGCCGGGCGGCGGTTTGCCACGCAGGTGCCTCTGGCGCCAGCTCCAGGCTGAGGAGGGTCCGGACTCGTCTGCCCACGAACTCTGTCCTTCCCGGCGGGAAAGCGCACGCATGTCTGCTCTTAGGCAGACAGGAGGACAGGCAGCCCTCCTCGAGTCTGCTTCCGCCCAGGACGAGCCCCACCCCGCAGGGGCACGGCTCAGGGTGGCCCCGCGGTCTCCTCCCGCTCCTGCCCACAGAGGCGCGATGCGGAGTCCCACGCGGTCTCCCAGAGGCGCGGGCCGCAGGTGACATCCAGCGCCGGAGCGCACCGGCTGTGTGCCTGGAGGCGGGAGGGTTTCTGGCCGAGTCTGTGTCCGTCTGCCCGGGCACGTTGGTCTGTGTGTGGCTTATGCGACTCAGCATAACGTCCTCCAGGTTCAACCCCGTTGTCACAAAGCATAGGATTTCCTTTTTTGTTTTTGAGCAAGGCCCATCACTTCAGAAAGAATTTCCTTCTTTTTGGAGGCTGAGTAGTATTTCATTTTGTGCAGGACGCACACCCTATCTTTCTCCATTTTTCTCCAGGACGGTGCTGTGAGCAGCTGGCAGATGCCCCCACCTGGGCTGAGAGTGAAGACGGGAACCTGCGTTTCATTTTCACCCTCCCCAGGGCGACTGTGTGTCCCTCTAACACTAGCAGTGTCAAAATGACACTATAAATTATATTCCATTGGATTTTATTTGCAAACTGGTCAAGAAGCAAAACAGACTAAAGAGGCAAAGAAATACACACCACTGGCCATTTACATGCCTACCTCTTTGGCTTTTCCCCGTCTTTACAAAAACGCTGTTTCCTCCGGGAGAGGAGCTCCTTCCGGGTGGAGTCACAGGGTTTCCGGCATCTGCACAGCCAAAGCCCCCCTCGCCCAACCCGGCCATCTGGATGCTCAAGTGCCTCCATTTCTTCACTTTCCCTAGTCTCTTCCTCAAAAGCAAACCCAGCCACTCTGGGAGAGTCCCAATCCCCCAGCCGTGACTTCCATGGGGGACTCTGGCTCTGGGCCTGCTCCGCTCTCCTGCCCACTTTGTCCCTTGCCTCTGGGGGCCGCACCCCTCCACTCACACCGCACCTGCCCCTTTGCCTGTTTACCTGTTCTCGCAGAAGCGTGCAGAACAAACAGCGAGTTCAGCCCAAGGGCACGAGAGGGCAACTACCGTACCAGCCAACGCAGCAGGGCAGAGGCCTCACCCAGCCACGGGATTCTTCGGGAGCCACGAAGGGATTTCTGGAAATTGAGTCTTGCCCGCACCCCTCCCTCCGCA